CATGTTGTACATCTTAAATTTACACGTTATATGTCCAATGTATTTTTTAAGAAAACATTGGGAAACGCACACACAGAGGGAAGAAAATGCACGAGTAAAATAATCCTGATGCTGTGGTATCCAATATGGGATTATTTCCTACAGTAGTTCAATTTTGATTAAATTGTCAGTGCAGGAATCGGACTCCTAGGACAGTTACAGTGTCTCCTGATAGGATTTGCCAACAAATTCTGGATAATGATGTTGGTATTATTAGAAGTGGCTGGATGTATTTGGGTGAGTAGTTGAACCAAGATACTTAAAAGAAAGACAGGAATTATTGGTTAAACTGAAGATTTCATTTGCGAACCAAAAACCTGAATGAATAATTTCATAAATGTTGAGGCATGTATTTCCCCTTAAAAGTACGCATCTTTTTTTTTTTTTTTTTTAGCAGAATCTTATTGGAGGTTTTAATATTGAGGAATAAACTGAGATAAATATGTGGAAATGTCATTCAATGTCATACAGTACCAAAAATCTAAAGACTTGCAGTAGATTTTAAATTTTAACACTTGAATAACTATTTAAAAGACTGTGAAATTATTAAAATGCAAATGAATTAAATTTTAAAATACCGTATGACAGATTTATCTGAATTCTCAGGCATGGTTATGGCAGTGAAAGAACTCTCTAATATGAACAATTTCAATAAAAAGTATGACTCAAAAATATCTGAAAGGTCTATGGGAGAAGTTCCAATAAAGAGAGCAAGATCAAACACATAGGAAGTGGAGTTCAAAACAGCACTATCACATGGGAGGCAGGAAGACTCAGTCACGGACCTTGGGCACGAATTCCAAAGACTGAAAGAAAGAGGGAGCATCTAGCCTGTTGTTTGCCTAGCATTTCTTCTCTCCATTTTTAGTAGCAGTCCCCAATTTTTATTTTGGGACCCACTTATATCCATTCTATGTGGTCTCAGTAGAAGTGTCAATTAGAAGAGTGGGAATATGACCTAAGGGAAGTCAATCAGATTCTGTTTATCTTAGGAATTTGAAACTTCAGTGAAGAAACATAAGAAGGGAAATGACTGGAGCTGAATCATTCTGATGGCAGTGCCTCAGAGAAGGCTGTCCTGCATTGCTCTGGTTTCTGTTCTTCCCAAGACCTGTTTGCCTAGTTTTTCCTTAATTTCTGTGAGCTCTGCAGTATCTTTCCCAAAAATTCTATTTTGTTTGAGTGTGCCAGTTGAATTCTGTTGTGTGCAAATAAAGAGATGCATGAGAGACGTGTAGACATAAAAACATTATAAGTATGAAGCGAGGCGGAAATCTGCTCTCCCTGGTAGAGGAATGTAGGTTGCATAGTTTGAACAGTGTGACGTTATCAAAGGAAGCTGATCAAGGATAAGCATAAAAATCAAAGATAAATAAAAGGACTGCTAATCAGTACTTAGGGTCCAGCAAAGTTTGTAGAATACGAATTTGTAGTGATTTCCTTCAGGAACTTAGGTGCAGGAAAGGAACAACTTCGACTGATTTAAAGTTAAGAGCTAGCTGTGAAACAAAAATAGCAAAATGGATTTAATACTGTCAAAAGAACAATTTAAAATGGGTCCAGGAGGCCTCTAGGAAGCTGAGCTAACACACCACCTCCATGTGAAACTGAACTTCGGAACTGGGCTAAACCACAAATGGCTACGTCCTGATACAGTTCCTGGGACTCACTCTGTATCATTGAACTCTATATTAAAAGAATTAAAATTTCACCTAGCAACAGACATAAGCAATCAACCACATATTAAGAGAGAAAGGAGGCATCTGAAAAATACAAAGGAAAGGGCTTACAGAAATGACTGACTCAGCTGGTTAAAGCCCATTCCTAACTGCCCTCTATCTCCCTTTCAGCATTCTCTAGCTAACATGTTTTCCCATAGCTACCTCTCCCACCTCAAGGACTCTCCAGCTCACATCTGTTGATTCATGGCTTGCCAACCAAGTAATGTTCCTCCTTATCTCTGTTGCTGTGTAGGAATAACAAGACTGTATAAAACTGCTTGTTATGTTACAATCAGGGCTTGGCCTTTGGATAGGAATCCGTTGAACAGATGCTGGCATTAATAAGTGTTGCTTCCTACTTACAGCCTCAATGTCCTGTCTCTCTGTTCCAAAATCCTATGACAGTACTGATAATGCTAAGGTCACAAAACAAACGACCTTTAAGGCCAATGGGCTGAAAATTCCTCCCCGCTTGCAGCCCCCTACCCGAAGCTTCTCCTCCCCATTCTGAGTCATAAGGCACATGTGAAACCTCAAAGGAATCACGAGCCCCTTGCATGGACACTGCAGAGGTATATAAACTGTAATAAATCTAACCAAAGGGAGCTTGTGCATGGTGTTGTTAACTCCACATGCTCCGCCAGCCAATAAATTCTCCTTCCTCTAACAAAGTTGTCTGAGCGTCCAATTTCCTCTGTTGGGTGTTGCTTCCCGCAACAGCATAGCACAGTGTAAGTCAGTTTGCCAGCACCAATCACAGCACTTTAAAAACAACTTCCCTTCAGAACTCCCCGCTTTTCTGTTTTATAAACTTTTTTTCTACCTTGAAACACAGTTGAGTTCCTACCCAAAGCTGTGTCTTGAATTACAATTCCTAAAGACCCTCAAATAAAGCTTTTGTTTGCCTTGTAGTTCTTAGTCAAAACTGACATCACAATCAAAGAACATGTGTCAGAAACATAAGGTGGGGTTATTAAAGGGCTGTCAAGAGAAGTTGAAGGCTAATATAATGGGCTCTAAGCAGAACAGGCAAGAAGATAAAGCTAAGAGAATTGAATGAGGTAGGGGAAGGGGCACTGAGGGACTGAGGCTTGGGTTAGTTGAGAACAGATTAGGGCATAAGAGAGAGATCTTTAAATTTAAGAGGCTGCTTTATTGCATCTAGAAACCAGAAAATTTCAGGTTATAAGGTCCAGGTTGTGGGTAAGCAAGGGGCTTTGGGAATTGGGATATAGATTAAGGTACATTGAGGCAGGTTCTTCCACATGGCCATTGAAGCTGCCCATGATGATGTTAGGAGAGATTCAAGTCTGATAACTGGCTCACCTCAATTTTACCAACCAAATTCTAAAGTGTTATTTTTTTTTTTTGGTGAATGGGGAGATGGCTAGGAGGTTGGTAGATGACGACTTAAATGAAGTTCCCTTAAGAAATGAAGACTAGCTATAGTGTAACATAGTGGCTAACCATGTAGGTTCTTGGGTCTGATTCTTTACTGTTTTTCTAACCTTGAGTAAGTTACCACAAGTAAGTTATTCTCCTTGTGCCTCAGTTTTCCCAACTGTAACATGGGGTAATAGTACCTATAGCATAAGGTCATTGGAGAATTAAATATGCATGTGTTTCATAAACACTGAGTACTTCATAAATGGTAGCTATTATTAAAGAGGATACAAATATATAAATTATAATACTTAATACTTTATGATCAATATTTTTACAAACCTATAGAAAATAACTGAAGGGATAATCAGGGAAGTCTTCACTATGTGATAGAGGGGAAAACAAAAGAAAGTTCAAGAGCTAAACAAATAAAGGGCATAGGAGAAGTGATAAAATCTGTTTTTTAAATTTTTCAGCTGTAGTTGACACACAATATTATATGTTTCATGTACATAACATAGCGATGAGACCTTTATATATCTTACAAAGTGATCACCATCATAAATTTAGTACCCATCTTTCACCATATTCCATAGCTATTACAATATTATTGACTATATTCCCTATGCTGTACATTACATACTCATGACTTATTTTATAATTGGAAATTTATACTTCTTAATCCTCTTCACCTTTTTTACCCAACCCTCCAACCCCCCTCCCATCTGGCAACCATCAGTTTATTGTTTCTATGAGTTTGTTTGTTTTGCTTTGTCATTTATTTTTAGATCTCATATATATGCGGACTCATATGGTATTTGTCTTTCTCTATTTCACTTAACATAATACCCTCTAGGTCCATCCATATTGTCACAAATGGAAAGGTTTCATTCTTTTTTATGGCTAAGTAATATTGTTTAATGCTCACTGTATGATAGGCACTGTGCTAGCTATTTTACAGCTATCATCACATTGAATACCATGTCCCTGCAAGATATACAACTTCTTTTTGTTGAGGAAGAAAGTTCATGGTGGTTAATTACTGGCCCTTGGGCAAACAGAAATGGAAATTGGGATCTGTATTTTATTTATTTCTAATAAATTTATCAGGATGGCATTGGTCAATAAAATTATATAGCTTTCAAGTGTTTGAGAATGTCATATGTATATTGTATTGTGTCCACCACCCAAAGTTAAGTTTCCTTCGTTACCTTATATCTGACCTCTTTTACCCTTATCTACCACTCCCCTTCCCTTTAAAAAGTAAGTTGATTCATCACAAGAGGGACTCTTCAAGGAAGCGTGAGAGAGAATAATAGCCAGACCTCTGAGCACTAGAGGGGAGCAGGCAGGGCTGAAGATGGATTCCCAGGCAGGGATCAGATTATAAAAGATTTTTGCCTGTCATATGAGAAGTTTGGACTTGAATCTGAGTTCAATGCCGAGAGAGCAAAGGATTTTAAGCAGGCTCTACGCAGTGACTTGAAACCCAGTAACCCACTGATGGCCAGATAGATCAGTCATTCCTCATTTACTGAGTGCCCGTGTGCCCACCCTGCGACAGGGAGTGGACTAACTGCAAAGAATGGGCGCAGCAAGGGAGACCTTTTCCTCTGCCTACATCGCCGGCCTTCTAAAGCTTCCATGCTGGTTGTTCCACAGGCTCCTTTTTGGGGTCCTCCCTCTGGACATGAGGGGCAGGCAGCGTGCTCTGCAGCTAATCACCGGCCGCCACCTCTGCGCTCCCACTGAAGGGCATTCTGGCCCGGCCCAGCCCTTCAGCGCCCTTTGGCGTCTGCACCCAACCTTTCTCTCGCTTCCCTGCCCCCGCCCAGTTGTAAGGCTCCCGACTCTCACCCTCAAAGAGCAGCCCGCAGCTTCCTTTCCCGAGCGCCTCACGTCCGGTCACGTGTGAACCCTGTCACGTGCGGCATGATCACGTGAGAGCAGGTCACATGTGGGGGCCGCGCTGCTGGGGACTCGGCTTCTAGACGTTTGCGGACCTGGGTGGGTGCGGTCTTCGCGGTCCGGAGTTCGCCTAAGTGCACGGCCAAGATGGTGAGGACGGCGGTGCTGAGTAGAGCCGGGCTGGAGCAGCCGCCTCCTCCAAAGCTCAGCCCTTCTTTTTGTCTTTACCGCTGCAGATGAACCGGACGATTCCAAACCAAGAGCGGCCGCCGGCGTCCGAGCCCGTGTGGGAGCGGCCCTGGTCGGTGGAGGAGATCCGCAAGAGCAGCCAGAGCTGGTCGCTGGCAGCCGACGCGGGCGTGAGAGGCGGGGACTGAATGGAAGGGGTGGGGGAGGAAGGGCGGGCCGCCTGGGGTGATGTGCGGCCTGCGAGCGGAAGGTCTGGATCCCGGGTTCTCCCTACCCAGGCTGTCCCTCTGCCACCTGTCTTAATAATAATACACCTCGCTCGCCCTCGATGACTACTTCGTGGCAGTGCCAGATGTCAGGGAGGGGGCGGGCCCGTCTGCCTTAGCCCTCAGTGCTCCTGAGTACTCAGACTGCGGCCCAGATGCAGGTTCTCTGCCTGAGGCGGGGCAGATCGATTCTCCGCGCGTCGCGGGATTGCTTGGGCAGTAGTCAGGCGATTCCATGATGGTACCTGGACTGAGTAGGGCGGTAGACAAACCAGTACGTGGTTATTATTCTGGGTTCTTCAGGCGGGAGGCCCAAGAAGCCCAGGATTCCAAAGTTGCATATCAATAGGATTTTTAAAAAGTAGTAGTTATTTTACCCTTTGTCTGTGATCCTTGTAGAATGACAACCAAACAGAACTTAAAAATTTCTCCAGAAAGGAAATAGTGTCCGTTGACTCTTTGCCACTGTTTTGACCAGCTTTCTCAATGTTTTTCAAGGCCACTTGGTCTTAGTACTGACAAAAATAGCATCTCTTGTGCATTCCAGCACAGACATACAAAGGTGAAAGGAAATGGGTTCTCTCTTGTTTTGACACAAAGAATAAATGCATGTAATAATGATACTACTTTACGTTTGTTTTTAAATAGTTACTACAGTTTCTACAGGAATTCTCACAACAGACTATCTCTAGGACACATGAAATCAAGAAACAAGTGGACGGACTAATTCGTGAAACTAAAGCCACAGATTGTCGTCTACATAATGTCTTCAATGACTTCCTTATGCTGTCTAATACCCAGTTCATTGAGAACGTGAGTTGCTTAGTTACAGTAGACTTATAAATAATGCTTTTTTGAGGAACAAGAGTCATTGTGATATTAAGTGATCTATCATTAGTTTCCCTCCTAAATGTTGATGGAAGTAGTGGTTCTTCTTAATCGAAGCTTCTTTCTCTCAAATTAATGCCTTTTCTGAAAAATTAGTTTTAGAAAAAAGTTTTTCTAAGCCTTTAAAAATACCTAATAAAATTTCCTCATATTCCAGTCTTCATCCCTTTTTAAAAGATTTGAGAATAGTCAGCAGTTGTGCTAAATTGCATGGCACTCAAAACAAAAAAGCATTGTTATGACATATTTAGTAAAGAGAACCACGCACTTGGTCTGATGCTCTGGGCCACCAGCATGTAGCTGCAGTTATTGATTGTGTCCATTATATTCTCATAAATTATATTAAAGGCATGTATGTGTCCACTTGGAATAGACTCAACTAACGTTTTATTATGATTGCTGAACCTATAATATAGAATCAACTCTGAACAGATTACTGGGCTATAACCCATATGTTATTTTGTCTATTTATTGAGTTTCTGTTAAGTGCTAGGTCCTAGGAATACATAGATTAATTAGACAGAGCCTCTTCTTATAGAAGACCACAATTTTCCATAATAGTGTAATTCCAGAATAGAAAGAAAACTAGTGGCTGGAGCCTAGTGAGTGAAGGGGAGACTATTAAGAGTTGAGAGTGGAGAGGAAGCTTAGTTAAACTAATCTATATTTCTCATAAGGTGGCTAACTTCCTAAATGTCAGCATTAATTAATCTGTGATAATAGAATTAATAAAGTAGGCTATTTTATAAGATTGTTAGATATAAAGTGATAGAAAAGATTTTGAAAATTGCAGGATTATAAAAAGCCCAAGATTCTGGATTCTTAAGACAAGACCAGATATTGTCATGCAGATATTTTATACAGTATGTTTGTGCATTTTTTAGTTCAGGTTGAAATGCCATGACTAGCTTTATTTTGGGAGGCGGGGGGTGGGAAGGGAGCTATGTATAAATTAAAGATCTTAATAAAAGTCATGGAGATCTCTTTGCCCAGTAAGTTTAAAATATAACAAGTATTCTAGTAAAATCTATAGTCGTATTCTGGTTTGCTATACAGAATGTCCATCCTCGGTCCTGAGCATCTTTCTCATTGGAAGAGAGGTAGTTTACAGGACTGTCATCTCTACTTTCCTAGCATATGCAAAAGTGATGGAGTCTTTTTAAATATACTTTTTTGGAGTCTTTTTAAATATACTTGTTGCTCTCATTCTGCAGTCATTGTTGCAGTCCTAAACTGGGCAAGGGATATGCCCGATGCGCTTGTACCGCATTGGTACTGGATTAGTACCAAATTGATACTTTGGGAGTGGGGGGCATCATAACTTCTTTTTCTGAATCATTGTCTTCAGATATTACTTCTTTTTTCTTCAGCTCTTCTTTTTTGGCCAAGTTTTTGTTGATTAGGAGTTTTCCATGATCTAGTTTTTATTGATTTTTTTTAATAAGTTTTTTTTTTGTTGTTCAATTATTAGATTCCCTGTTTTCCATCCACCTCTCCATCCCCTTGTCCTGTATGCCTCTTCTCATTCTAGTCTGCAGCCATAATTCCTCTCTGGATGTACCTGTTCCCACTGCCAAATTTAACTGCTTTCCAGACCTCCCTATAATGCCAAATGTTACATTTTCTTTCCATTTATGGCAGAGCATGATGATGTTGAAAGTATGGCTAAAACTGAAAATATCTACATGCTGTTAATATATTTGGTAGTGATTTGGCTCGTTATATGTTTTGTTCAGACCCTGACATTGGTACTCATGCATTATAATTCTGGCTTGAATGATGGTGCCATTTGGTTTCGTGGTAGTTTATTAGAAAAATATTCAAAGACAGGTAGGTTTCTGGGTTTTAGTAATTAACCTCAGAGACAGCTACAGGATAGCACACTGCCTTAGAAAATTAGTGAAACTGAAGAGCAATTAGGACTTTTTAGGGCAAGAGAAATTAGTAAAAGCTCCAGAGGGGACTCTGAAGAAAGAGAAATACTAATTAACAGTGGTTCAGTGTGTTATCAGAAGGGAACAGAATTCTTAAAACTCCATTAATCTGTTAATTTAGGAATTTTGTCCTGAAAAGTTAAGTGACTTCTTTAGTAGCACTTCCCACAATTATAATTTTACACTTATTGATGTAATTTGATGCAATGAATTCCCCTATTAAATCAAGTCTCATTTTTTTCTAAATGTTTTATTCCTTGGGCTCAGCACAAGCCTGATACTTAGCGACTCAGTGAATATTTGAATGAATGAATGAATGAATGAAGGAAGGAAGGAACACATACATAAAAAGGATTAGGGCTCTGTATAATCTGTTAAGAAATCCTTTGCCCCTGGTCCCTTTTTCTCCATTTCCCCACCTTCACCTTTTACCATGTCTTCCCCAGTGAGGAAAAGATCCTTTGAGCAGAAATACTCAAGATACTTAAAAATTCTGGATATGGCTTCCTGATTTGAAAATGAGCAAAAAAACCATGAAGCTGTGAGTTCAGCCTGGTAAGGGTGAAGGAAATTAGCATTGATTACCTACTGTGTATTGAGTACTTGAGATGCACAGTCCTGGTCACCCTCAAAAGATCCCATGGTTTTATGTATTTGCTGGTTGATTTCTTAGATGTCATGTTTGGCTTTCCAGCTGCAGGCTATTGATGTCTTTATGAGATAGTTTTTAATGACAAGCAGAAAAAGTAGGATATTGGTACTGTTCAGTCTTCAGTGTGAAGCTCAACCTTTTAGGTTAAGTAATCTCACTATTTAAATTCTGAGGTATCTTTGGTAGCCGCCATGTCTTAATGTCTCAATTTTGATAATTTACTTTTTTGTTCCTGTGTTAGAAAATTACTTCCCCATTTTCTGATCTTTATAAAATAATTAGAAAGAAGAGTATGGAAAAGAAGCATCTGAAATTTTATCAGCTAGAGTGGAGTTGCTCAACATTTTGGCATATGTATTCCAAGTCCATTTCCCTTGAAGACATTTTCCTTTCTTGTTATAAAAGTAATGAAGACTCATTGTAGAAGAGACTGGCATAGTTAAAAGATATTGAAGTTTAAAAATTAAAACTACAAAAATCAATTATAACTCTACCACCTCAGTTAACCAACCATTGAACATTTTGGCATATTTCTTTTTAGTCTTTTTTTTTTTTAACTTTTTCTGGATGATGAAGAGGAGGAAGAGGAGTGTGTGTATTTGTAGCCTGCATTTTTTTAAGTGTTAACTTATTAAGGTTTTTAACACATCTATAAGACTTGTGAGCTTAATTTTTTTGTTCTTGTTTCATTATATGACTAGATCATAATTTTTTTCACAGTCTTTCAAAATCAAATTTTTTAACGAAGTATTTCATATGTCTAGAAAAGAACAGATAATAACCTCAGATGCTAATGATTTGCATAACCCTGCATTAACAGATTTTTAATATTTTGCTATATTTGTTTCAAAGATATCAAGTCCCCATTTTTTTCTTAACTCTAAGCAGGTTGGGTGAGGGCTCCTTTGTGTCTTTGCCTTTTTATTCTTCTTACCTGGAGAGTTTATATATGTGGATATGTATGAATGCACATGTGTAGTATGAGGTAGGGATCTCTTTTTTTTGTCCCCCATATGGATAACCTTTATCATATAGTTCTCTTCCTTACTAATTTATATGTATGAATACATGTGTGTATGTGTGTGTTTATATAAATATAAAATCAGGCTTACATGTAATTGTGGATCTGCTTCTGTGTTTTATTATGTTTATCTGCTGTATGTCAGTATCATAATCTTAAATACCATAGATTTCTAATAAGTCTTAATAGGGCAAGTCCCTGTGACTTCTTTTTATTCAAAATTGTCATGGTTTTTCTTGGCCTTTTTACTCTCCTGTGTGAATTTGAGGATTATTTTGCTAAGTTCCACAGAAAATTCTATTGACATTTTGATTGGAATTACATAGAATTACAAATTTGGTGTTTGTGACTTTCGACTGTAAATCGTGATGCCATGAGCATCATATTGTTTGTATTTGTGATTATTTTTCTTGGAACTAAATTTCAAGAAGTAGAATTCTTGGATCATAAGATATGGACATCTGAAAACATTTTCAGATGGGCAGATATTTCTAAAATGTGGACAACATCTGCTGGCAAAGTTTTGGAAAATGGGCTCTTGAATTGTTAGTGACAGTGTGAGTTATCATACATTGTGGATAGTCATCTGGAAGGAGCTATTAAGATTAAAAGACAGTTTTGTCCTTTGACTTGGCAATCCTGTTTTGGGAAGCCTATCAAATTAAAATGGCCAGAGCCTAAGAGTATATGTGTGCATACGTTTACAGTAGTCTGTTTAAAAGAACAAAAACTGGAAAGCTAATGTTCATCAATAGAGAACTGTCGAATTAAATATGGTTAAGTTTATACTGTAGGATATTATGCAGATATTAAAAAGATTGAGTTAAATATATATGCGTTGACCTAGAAAGTGGCTTATGAGAACATTAAGTGAAAAAGTGGGGCAAAGAAATGTGTATAGTATGAGTGGATTTTTATTTAAAAGCAAGGTTAGGAGAACTCTCAATATGTGCAAATGTCTATATATATATTTGTGTAAGAGCGACATGAAACAGAGGAGCACACACAAAGCTGAAATTGGTTATGGGGAGGTAAATATTTTTAAATACATCTCTTTTATATATATATATATGTATATATATATATATATTTATATTGACTTTTTAATTTTAATTGAGATGCAGTTCACATTTCATAAAATTTACCCTTTTAAAAAATGTGCAAGTCAGGAGGTTTTAGTATATTTACAAAGTTTTATAATCATTACCAGTATCTAATTCTGGAACATTTTTATTGCTCCACTGTTTATAACAAGCATGTTTTACTTTGGGAATTTACAAAACAATAAGTACTAAAAAAATAACAAAAGAAATCACAGTGAGTTGCTGGAGTGATAGCTCTGTTTTGGAAAAGAGAAGCCTGCCTTTCCATACCCATAGTTCAGTCAAATACTTGATCTTCTGGCAAATCATTGGTGGGCGTGGCCCATCTTTTCATATAAATAGGATAATAAAAATTTACCACCTATTTTAAGCAACAGAATGAAAATAACTTTTTCCTTTACTATTTATATTGCTCAAAACATTAAAGCTTATTACCTAGTAAGTAAGGTCTACCAGTTGATGTTCTCAGTTGCCTCACATTTGGGTTACCTGTATCATTACCCCATCAGCATTAAGTATTAGGTTAAAAAGGTGTGAAAACTGATACCTTACTGTTTTCGTGACTCTTTAGTCAATAATGAGATAGAACTTTTCATATTTCCTAGTCATTTGTACATTTTTTTAAATTTAATTTTTGGTGAATATACTGCTGTTCTTTGCTTTTTGTCCCTGACTAGTGGCCTCAGCCATTTGTTGAATAATTTTTTTCCTGTCTTTGTCTTTTTAAATTGCATATTGAATTCATACACTGTGATTTATTCCAAATGATGTTTTGACCATTTAAAAATGAATTTGCTTCCATATTTAGCGTGTATATGATGAAGAAGTGGAGGAGCCGGTTCTCAAGGTTGAGGCAGAAAAAGCAGAACAGGTATTTGCATTAAATCACTCTTCTGTTGAGTTCTTGACTTAGAGACAAAAAGTGGTGATTTGTAATGCTGCTGGTAAGGGATGGATATTGGGGGACATAGGGAAGTCTGGTCTGGACAGCCTAACAATTGAACTCTTGCTTCTGAAATTTTAGTGTATTAAAAAATATATTGTAAAGTTTCTGAATTAGAGGTAGAGCACAGTTCGGCAGAGATTTTCTATAAAGGGCCAGTTAATAAATATTTTAGCTTTTTCTGGCCTCATTAGTCTCTGTCCCTTCTCCTTTTCTTCTCTTCCTCTTCCCCTCCCCATCCCCTTTAAAAATATATAAAAAATATTCTTACCCTAAGAGCTATACAGGAACAGGTCAGAGGCTGAGCTGTAGTTTGTGAGTTCTTTGAAGACTGAGTTTCTCTATCCTTTTATGACTACTTTGATTCTAATTCCCACTAGTTAAAAATTACAGTAAAATGAATGCTGGATTAGCCCACACACTTTGAGTGACTCCTAAATGCCACAAGATGTGTTGGTACAGAGGATACAGACTGTGCAGTGAACATTTATTGACTCTAGGAAGATTTCAGGGAGCTGGTAACTTGGAGAAAGACTTTGCCCTCAAGAGGTACAGTCTTAGTTGGGGCGATTGGATAGGACACATGATGTTGGCTGCGTGACTGCTGTTTGGAAGTTCAGACGAGAGAGCTTAATGGAGTAAGATAGAGAAAAGCTTCAAGGATGAGATGTTAGCTGGGTGAGGAAAGAAGAGCCAGATTTTAAGGCCATATTAGCAAGAGAGAATGCCAAGAGCTAAGGTTCCAAGTTGGGGGATGTACCTGGTATTTTATGGACTATGTTAATAGAAAATACTGGTGAGAGGCAAGACCACCAGGTCAGGGGGTGAGGGGTGGATGCTGGAGGGCTTCATAAATCTGACTAAGAAGCCTCTACTTTTTTCCCCCTGTGGCTTCATGTGTTCTTGGGTTCTCACATTATAGGCCAAAGCATAGATAAAAAGTTTTTTAACTTTCTAGCACTCTGGCAGAAGGTGTACCTTTTTTCTCTCACTCAGGAAAGCACAGTGGAATTTCAGTAAGTTTATTATGGGAGCAGCCTTGAATCAGCTCTAATTTATTCAGAAAATATAAATTACTTGAAAAAGTTGGTACTTTATTAGTAACTGTTACTTGTAACATATGAAGCTGTTAGACTAGGAAAGGATATTAGAAAGCAGTTACAGTTTTCAGCTTTTTTTAAAATAAGAAGTTTTTGATAGTACTCAAAGACTTAGTAACCATTTAAGTATGATAGTATCTGGTTACACCAAGTCAGGGTTCAATTTTAAAGTGAAGGTATTTAGTTACTATTTTTAAAAAGCTACTATATATTTATTTCACAAACATACTTTCACGCACTTTGTACAGCGTTAGCTATTTAACTAGAACCAAGCATACCAGAGTGGAAAAAAGATGCAGCCAAAACAAAAAAAGCTAAATAGTAAAGACTTCAGTGCTTGAGATAAAAGTGTAAAATACTCATAGAGTTTTCCCTTTTGGCCCTCAAAAACAATACTGTATGGTTTGGTTCTTTCTGTAATTATGTATCAACTTCTGGAATATATATATAAAGAGGGGAAATGACACTTAATTTAATTTTCAGTATCTCACAACTGAGAACAGTTGAGTGTATGAAGGGACTGTCACTGAGAGCTGCTGTTGTAGGAAATGGAGAACTTTGGAATACTTATGTACAGACTTCTGGGGTGAGTGGGAGAAGATTGTACTAGGGTGATGAACAAAATAGATTAGTGATGAAGCTGACCCCCTCTTGGTTTGAAACATTTATATAATAACTGTAATTGTTTAGTCCTTTTTTGAATTGTAATTTAAAAAATGACATCTTTAGCTGGAGTATTTTCTTCTAAGTTTTTACTCCTAAAATTGTCCAAAGAACCATCAGCCAATGTTAGTGGGATGCAGTCACGGTGAAGCTAAAAGTCTAGGCTCTTCATTTCTCCAGTATTAGGGAAGTGAAATGCCATTGAGGGTTTGTGAAGTGCCATTCATTTTTGGTGTACTTTTACTTAAGTTATCTAGCTGAACCATCCCACAATAGTGTTTGTTTTCGTAGGTGATGAACCTGAAGCTCTGAGACCTTGAGTACTTCAATCCATATCCTAAAAGTGACAAACTTGCGATTTAAAATTTGCTCCAAAGTCACTCTAAAAAGTCTGTTTGGAGATATTCAGCAGAATCTGACTTTTGTTAACATTTTTAATTAAGATATTTTTGGAGCATGAGTTTAGGCTTTAGAGAACATTCTTTGTGTTTTGTTACAGTGCTATTAATATATTGGAGATCCATGCTGAATAGTATTTGTTTTATAGGAGAAGACCCGGGAACAGAAAGAAGTAGATCTGATTCCTAAAGTTCAGGAAGCTGTGAACTATGGTTTACAAGTATTGGACAGTGCATTTGAGCAACTAGATATAAAAGCAGGAAACTCAGACTCTGAAGAAGATGATGCTAATGAGCGGGTGGAATTGATTCTCGAACCAAAGGTAAAGACATTCAGTTCAAGTATTTATTGTTACACCTCTTGTGTTTTGGGTATTATATTTGGGTACAGAATTAGTAAGACACGGACTTTACTTCTAGAAAGTGAACATGTCGCTTAGCAATCTGATATTTACTCCATCAGAAAGACTTGCTTTACATGAGCATTGCTTGAACACTTGCTAGGTACGAAGCAGCCAAGTTAGAGGAGTACAAAGTTGCAAGGCATAGTTCTTCTCTCAAGATGTTTATTACATCATTACCAGACTGTGGGAGAGAAGGAGACATATGAGTCACTTTTACGTCTAGCTGGGAAAATTAGGGTAAAGTTGAGTCTTGAATTGAGTTTTGAAGGATGAGAAGGCTCATAAGAGGTAAAGGTTGTTGGGAACCTGAAATTCTGTAGTTTGTGATAAGGGGGACTGCAGAAGTGTTGAAAGACGTTTGTGTTGTTTCTAGGTTTTAGCTATTATGAGTAAAGTTGCTATGCATATTCGTAAACCGACTGTTAGCCTAACAGGTACTTATCGTTTTCCTATTACTTCCTCTCAGATTGCTGGAGACAATTGGGGCAACATAGAATCACCTAGAAATAAACACAAAAGGTGGTTTTATCGCTTTTGAGAGTCCTTGTGACATACAAGTGCCTTAGGAATTGAAACACTACAGAACCAAACTCTAGTTCTAATCATTTATTTAGCTGCACATTTCTCTTCCAGTTTGAGCTTACAGTGTCATACCAAGTTAGGGCTGGTCATTTAGCACTGGTGCACTTGTTGGCTTGCTTTTTTACTGTAGGTATTTAGAAGTCATCAGTGGACCCTGGGAAATGTATTGCCTGGGCCACACTTGTTATCCAGTTGCATACCAGTTTCTCTTTTGTGGGAGGACTTGAGAAGGACTTCTGAGTCAGTGACTAGTTAGCCCAGTTATCACTTTCTTTTCTTTGCACTAAATTGGTTGCTGTTGTATCTTTAACCTTTACATTAACCTTCAGTTATTGTGTGAAGCATCAAAATTATTCTCCCTTGTCCCCTAGGGTCTTTTCATTAGGGAGGAGATATTATGGCCAAAGGGTCATGCCATGCAGAAGACAGGTCAGCTTCTCTTCTGGCAGTGAAGATGGGAGGTTGTCCTTGGGGTGGAGTGCTTTCTTGTCCTTAAATTTTTAATGTGTATGATGGGTGGGACTCTGAAGTAGAGGACTGAAATGCGAGGATCTCCGACGTGTATTACTGTGCACACAGTCTCCTTCATTTCATTGTTATTTTGTCATCTGGTCTTATTTTACTAACTTTACTTTTCTAAATTATACAGTGTGAACCTCTTGGGGGATATTATTATTCCCTTTTTTGAGTTATTTTTTCTCTCAGAGAGGTTCTTACTAATTTTTTAGACATTATAATGTTGACTATAGATATTTGTATAGTTGCCATTTTTTTCATCTAGCCTATACTTCATGTGGTCTGTTCCAGCTTTCTCCTTTCCGCTGATGCAGAGTGAAAGAGTCCTTGATTCCATTTGTGCCTTGTTTGTGACCTGTTTTTCCCTATCTCCTCCCTAAAACCTGCCTGGACATACCTGCTTGCCTTCTCATAGTCATATAAAATCATTTGGGTTTTTTCCTCAGTGTGCTTCTCTTCAAATTTAGGACTATTATTGAGGAATCTCAAGATTGATTGATTGGTTCATTTTTGCTTGCCAGTGCTGCTTTTTAGGGGAGGAAGGTAGGGTTAGGGATCACTAAAGCTTGCCAGAATTTCTGGTTTCTTTTCTAGATCCTCCTCCTTTTGAACATGTTGCTATGTAGTTGTACCCCTTTCCCTATTTGATTATTGCTGATAAATGTTTTGCAGGCTTTTGCCACTTTTGTTAATATAATTAGGCACTTAAAAAAGAGGATTCTGTGTGATTCAGCTTCACTTTGCCATCTTTACCTAGGATTTGACTTTTTTTAAATCAGTGATTTTTTTTTGTATTTTTAATCCTACTGTGTGTCTTAGTTTCTTATTACTTAACTTGTTTGTAGTAGTCAGATGAAACAAGGTATCAGATGGAAAACTATTTTTCAACTTAAATATTTAATGGTTTATTTCTTTTCATTTTTTACAGGATCTGTACATTGATCGTCCTTTACCTTATTTAATTGGGTCAAAGCTGTTCATGGAGCAGGAAGACGTGGGTCTTGGAGAGCTGTCCAGTGAAGGTTCTCTTTTTGTTACTTTTAACATTTATATGTTTACTTTTTATTTTAAAGTAATTCCAAACTTTACGTTAATATTGTAAGAATATTACCAAGAACTCCCATGTACCGTTCACCCAGGCTTACCAGTTAAGATTTCATCACATTTGTTTTGTCTTTTTCTCTATATATACATATTTTTTTCCTGAACTTATTAGAAATCAAGCAGACATTGTGCCCTATTACTCGTAAATATTTCTGTGTATAGCCACAGTATGATGATCAAAGTCAGGAAATTTTACTGGACATACTAAGATTAGCTAATTTTCAATCATATTCAGATTTTGCCAGTTGTCCCAGTAATGTCCTTTACAGTCTTCTTTTTTCCTTTGTTCTAGGATCCAATTCAGGATCTCTCACTGCATATAGTTGTCCAAAAAACAAAAAGCTTTTCTTTGCTTTTCATAGCCTTGATATCTTTAAAGAGTACAGACCATTTTTTTTCTTGGTAATTAATAGTTTTGTAATTAGTAAGTATCTTGTGGGGAGATACTTCGAGGCTATATAAATATTTCATTCCTTACTATAGTAAAGATACTTTCAATTTCAATTAATGGTATAGATTTATCAAAATCTCTCTGGTGATGATACATGGGGTTTATGAGTTCGAGAAGGAACTAAGCAAATTTTCTTATGAATATTGGCGATAACCCTTATCTTTCTTCTAAACAGAAGGTTCCGTAGGCAGTGATCGTGGTAGTATTGTGGACAGTGAAGAAGAGAACCAAGAAGAAGTAAGGGCTGTTTGGTGTGTCCAGTTCATGGTGGGCAGAAAACTAAAGTGTGTTTAGCAGGCTAAGTAAATAACATACTTGTGAATTAGCAATCCGTTTTCGTAAATCTTTTAACAGTGAGAGAAGCCATTGTCTGAAGTTTTTTTCCTTGGGATTGGATTTCTTTTTTGTCTTATGTACAAAAACAAGGAAAACTGCTTTAATCCCTTTTACTGTTTCCCTCCCTCGCACCTCACCACCATATTCTTCTTTTACCAATATATTTTGAGGGGCACAGCTTAGATATTTTAGTGAAATCTCTGCCTGAGATACAGTCTTTGAGTAAGTTGTACCTTTGAATAATTCAAAGAAAATAGTTCATATTTCAAACATTTACTTTAAAAATCTTCTAGACCAGAAGAATGCTTAAAGCATCTACTTATGTTTTAGCTTTGTTGCTGCCTCTAGCAACTTTACATCCACAGAGCATAATCTGACTTTTTCCTCTTAGGGTCTCTGGGTCTGTGGACCTTGATCACTGTTGTATCTGGATTTGTTCCTTTAGATGGAATATTATTGCAAAGGGCAGAGACATGTGAAGGATAGTTCTGAGAGTGGATTTCTAAAAGGAGACGAATGTATACATACACTTCTCTTATTCTCCCACCCTCTTTGCACAATCCTCCTCCCCTGTCCTTCAACCAGCTCTCCAAACAAAACACCTAACAGTAGGTTACAAGCTTTTCTTAAATAACCTCGCCGTAACTGAGGGTCCTTAGCTGAATCCTTTGCTTTTAGCCATCAGTGCAACTCTATGTAATTGCTGGTGGAAAATACTGATTTTCTCTTCTTGGGCCCGAAGTAGTTACTGTATTTAGAGGGAATATAGACAGTAGGGTCTAAAATGTAAAATGACATAAACCAATTTTGGATAATTTAGTTGATTAAATGTGCAACTCTTACTTTAAATCCAGAGGTTAGAGATGATAGTGTAGATAGATGTGAACAAATTGTTATAGATGTTTCAATTATTCACAAAAATTACGTGTTGATTGGAACAGCCCTTGGCGATATTGCCAGCTAGCCACCTTATCGCACCTTGATACTTCAGGTGACCAGTAATCAGTAAGGGGATCAAGTGTTGATTAGCCCCCAAAACCTACACCTGAAATCATTTCAGTGCTTCTCAGTAAAGCCTGTATTAACAACAAAGCTTTTTTTTTCCCCTAAAGGAGTCAGATGAAGATTTTGCCAATCATAGCGACAATGATCAAAACCGGGTAAGGCTTATGTATTGAAGTGACTTTATTTTAAATATTAATTGAAGCATAGTATATATACTAAATATATACCAAAATTGCTTTTGAGTGAGTTATGAGAAACTAAGGGTTTGTTCATTTTTACAACTAATTTGCCTTCAAGCATTTCATATTTTTAGGCTTACTAGCCCCTGATATAATTTTTCCCAATTTTGCTTTTATTTTACCTTCATTTTTCTTAGAAAACAAGTAAAAAAAAAATTGGGAAATAGAACCTCTAAAAAAAGGCCCAGTTACCCAAACTGAACTTTTCACATGAATCCCTCTCCTCTGTTTTAAAATTAAAGACAATGTAGCAGTAACGTTAAGGAACAAGCAAAAGGTGAAAATATTCTAATCTTACTGTTTTAGTGTCGTCTTAATTTTTGTGTACTCTTTTAAGATATATTTTCATAAGATAATTTATTTTCTACTATTTTATATTAACATAAGTGTTTCCTTGTCGTTTGTCTTTGTAATTTGCTTTGTAGACGTTTATATTTTTAAGCACACTGATATATGATACTGTCATAGTCTTTGAATGTATTTGGGAAATAGTTTATTTTTAGGATTTTATTTTTGAAGTAAGGATGCATTTAGTATTTTCATACATAAAAATCTTTTGCTTCTGTGAACTGTTTCCTTAAGAAGAAGGTGGTGTAGTTATATTAAGGGCTCTTGACATTACTGTTTAATGGATATTCTAAATTACAAATCCTGCATGATGATTTTCATACAGTCTCATCAGCACTGAGATTATGATATATGTATAGTGGTATAGTGAGATTGTTACAATTTGCATTTCATTTTCCTCATTGGGAAATATTTTTTCATAAAAATTGTAACTATCAAAGGATTTAGAAATTTTTATTTGGTACTTGTATTTTCCCAGTTGTATTCACAAATGTGGCTAGTCTTTATGATTTTAATTATCAATCCATATTTCTTTCTATGGAATTTACTATTAAGATCCATAAATTCAGACAGTTTTTCACAGTGCAATAAAATGATTAAAAGCCCTGGCTTAATCATTTATTTGTATTGTTGAAGACAGACTGGTTTTGCATGCTACAGCTAACCTCAGAGTTCTAAGGATTTTAGCATAGTGCACAGCACAGTTTATTGTTTTAAACATTAAAAATTTTTTTTAATTATATAAGTTATACATACCAGGGGCTGCTTTTGTAAAAATTAGAACTTAACAGATAGCTTGAGCCCTCCAATCTTCATTTTCTAACACTCTCCAGAAGTAACTGTGGTGTTATGATCTGGGAGTATATATTTCCAAGTGTTTTCTTGTACAAGTATATCTGCATTCATAGAAATGATGTAGGGTTAATGGGGAGTATAGGCTATCAGGCTGAGTTTATCATACAGCGTTTTTCACTTGATGCTTTGAATATCTCTCTAATTTATTCCTTTTAACTGTTAGTATTCTTATTATGATGATACTTATTTAGTTTATTCATTTCTCTAGTGATGGACATTTTAAATATTTCAGTATTTTGCTATTCTTGCACTGAAAAATCTTATGTATTATTTGTTCTAGCACATGTAGTGCTTCATAACTTTTGCTCCATTATCATCATCATATAACAACTGTTAACATTTTGTGTAAAGCCTAAGTGGCAATATCTCTTTTTCAGCTCGACCTTATCTAATAGCTCTAATCTGGTGGTTTATACTCTTAGCACACTACACAAATGAGTGATGAAGAAGAGGATGATGATGGTTGTGATATTTTTGCTGACTCTGAGAAGGAAGAAGAAGATATTGAAGACATTGAAGAAAATACTAGACCTGTAAGAAAGACTGTTGTTGCTGTCTCTTGGCAGGGTTTAAACTGGTACCTAAGACTCACTCTTTTTACTGTCATTTATATTGTAACTGTCTTGTTTTATATCATATTTGTATTTTCATTTACACTTTTGAAAATAGTGGTTGAGCATCCCAGGTTGCTTTATAAGTGTCACTTTCTCTTTCAAATATTACAATTTTATAAGTCAGATCATTTAAAATACATTCAGTCTTAGAGTTTTAAGATCTAAAAATCCGCCCCCTTCCCTCACCTCAAGTACCTCATTGTAGTTTTTTTTTTTATCTAGCTCAAGTATTAAAGTATTAAAAAATAAAGAAATGTAGAGCACTTCTCTTCGAAGGAACACTTGAGTTCTGTTTCTCAGGTGATTTGTATAGGGTGCATGTGTTTAAATTCATTTGTTAAACCCTATTTTCTCATCAGTTCAATTTTTTTGCCATTGTTCACATAATTTTGTTAGGTGTCCAAAAGTAAACTACTAGTTTGTATGTTGCCTCTAGAAAAGAAGTAGACCAACGTCATTTGCTGACGAGCTGGCAGCTCGGATCAAAGGGGATGCCACAAGCCAGATGGAAGAGGGGCAAACAGGTACATCCCAAGATGAGTAAACGTAGTGGTGGTGAAGTGCAGGACCCTCTGCTGGACTTCACTGAAGGTGGAGTTCCCTGCTTAACTTTACTAAAATTAAACATCGTACTTCTGATTCTTTTTTTGGTTTATAGACTCTGTAATAACCGAACACTGTGGACCTCCCAAGAAAACTGCACATACACACATTTATTTAACATTGTATATGTAGTTTCAGGGCATTAATGGGTACCTCAGTGAACCATGGGCCCCAGATTGAGAATTCTTGCCTTAATATTTACTCCTATCTAATAGCTCTAATCTGGTGGTTTATACTCTTAGCACACTACACAAATGAGTGATGAAGAAGAGGACTAAATGAAAGTTTACTATTCAGTATGTTCTAGTGATTTAACGGGGTGGAAAATAGGATAATTCTTTGAGCAGGTGTAGTCCTGGTATGCACATGACCCTGGCATGTAAGCTGAAGTTTTCTGCCTTAAACAGAGGCACTTTTGAGTGCCTGTTATGGGAAGGCACTGTTGGAAGTACTCAAGTGGAGGTGAGATACAAAGTTGAATGGCTTACTCTGAGCGTAGGAGTCATGAGGATGGCAGACATGTATGTAAATGTAAAAAATCAGTAGATAAATGCTAAGTGTGGACTGAGTATGGTTAAAACTGACATATTCTTCAAGCCTTATCTCCAGGAAAAGCAAAGCCTCAGAAGACATTCATAGAGAAGAAAGAAAGGAGAACTCCCTCAGATGGTAGGCTTTTTTCCTCAATTCTGTTATTTATGGAAGGCTCTTCATCAGGACTATCACTTGCATAATTTGTAAAGTTCTACTTTAAATGCATGACAAAAGAGTTTATCTCTCTATTTGCATTTTCAGAGCATTTAAGAGCATGCTTTGGGGTTTTGTGGGAGGAGAGATGGTTGTGGAGGGAAAATGCTGTGAAAATTTGAACTGTTAGATTTTATAGCAATCATTATCTGTCTTCTGTATTTCTCTAGATGTACAGAAACTAGAGCTCTCTAGCATTTGTTTTTAATAAAGAATATATCAGGCTCTTTCATATTAAATAGTAATGTCTGTTACATTTCCACTTGTGACTGTGTCAATCTGCAACTCTCTTTGTTTAGTCTGCCCATCCCTGAAATTCTTGGTGGGGTGGTATTGAATGGCAATTGAACCATATACTTGCTTCAAAAGAAATAAATCCACATGAAAGGGATCACCTGTGGAATTCACCCTGCTTCAGACATTTACAGACTTGAGAGTAGGAAACCAGAGAGCCTTTTAAGGGATTCAGTAGACCAGTTAATGAATTTTTGTTAGAAATGTCTCAGAATGCCAGCACTCAGATCCTCCATGTTATATATAGTTAGATAAACTCCATGCTAATTTTGGAGATGTTGTAAAGGCCAAACCCCAGAATTTGAGTTCCAACCCCATATTTTATTCTCTCTGTAAAGCATTTCTTTCTGTTTGCTAGATGAAGATGGTAACTTGTTCGCACCCCCCAAGCTGACAGATGAAGACTTTTCACCATTTGGCTCTGGAGGTGGCCTGTTCAGTGGAGGGAAGGGACTTTTTGATGATGATGAGGAGGAGGAGGTGAGTCAGTGATAAGCTGAAGTTCTCCATAGCTATGTTGTGGGTCCATAAGGAAGAAATATACTTTGTTGCTTTAGTAGGGAAAAAAATGGCTTCTTAGTTGGAAGTTGTTTCTATTTTCATATTTGGGGATATTTTGAACTAAGAATCACAAAGTGAGAAAATACTTTATCCTGATGCCCTCTTTGTTAGGTGGAAAGAGGATGTGAGAGTGTTAATAGTGATTTACTTGATTAAGCAAATTGTTTTTTACCTTATCTATTATCTTCCATGTTTATATTTAATTCCTGGACAGACCTAAATTATTTAAGGGTCTGATTTTGCCATAGTCCTCACTTTGGTACTGATTTCCTGGCAGAACAGCAAATACGTATCTTTAAACTTTACAAGGTACTTTTCTTTAGAATGCCTCAAATACAGCTACCTTTTCCACTGCTTTTTTGAATTCTGTGTTATATACCTTGTTACAATTAGAATGACCTCTTCACGGAAGCCCCTCAGGGTCGGGAAGCACGTGTCCCAGTTAATGAAGGTAAGCTTGGATTGAAGCTGACCGTGCTTCTTTGTGCATAGATTTCTAAAACTATTTACTTCCTATTAGGAGATGGAATCCCCAACGTAGTTCCCAAGCCTTGTTTCTTTGTTAGGCAGGAAGCTGTCATGTTTGCTTTGGTCTAGTTAAAAATAGCTTATTTGTACTGATTCATGTCTTGGTAAAAACTATAAATAGAGTACCATCTATAAACTTCTATCACAGTTTTACCTCTTAGAGAATTTGTAAAAAATCAAACAGGAAAAATGTCCTAGCACTATTGAAGATAATTTAATTTAATCAAATTTAACACAAAGAAACATTTCTAAAATTCTGTGTATAAGTTGGACATCAGTAATTTTTTAGTGTGCATTGTAATCATCTGTGGAGTTTTTAAAAGGCACACATAAAAAATGTAAAAACTTACAGATTTTCTTCTTTTAGTCTGTGGTAGTTCTTGGAAATTGGTAATTTAGTTATTTTAAGTAACTTGGTCTCCCCAGGCCAAAAGTTGTCGGATTTTGGATCTGTTATGATGCTGCCTTGATTGCCCTATGGTTCTTGTTCTCTACTTTTTGGCACTGATGACTTGCCTGGTTTTCTTCTTTCCTGTTCTTGTCTTCATTTTTTTCACTAATGTCTCAGGTTTACTGCTGTTCTTTTTTAATTGTTCGTTTTCACAAAAGGGAATGGATAGAGTGGACACTGAGGAGGAGCCCTGCTTTCTCTGCCCCTGCCGCCCATCGTGCTCTGCATCTTCCTTGGCCTCCCCAGCCAACCCCACTGCTTTCGTCTGCCCAGAGTCACAGTAATCTTCCATGGGTGTAACAGCTGAGATTGCATTAGTACCAAGAAAAATGCCATGACATTGGTAGAGCAGATAATACTAAGGAATTTTAAAATAGTTCTTTTAGGAAAAATTAGTTTTAAATGGTTTCGTATTAGCTATGTATTGTGTTGTACATATTTTATGAAGGTGTATTTAACATGGAAAGTTATTTTCTTTGTTGAAATGGTTATCTCATTTTTCTCATTTTAGTGTCATCATCCTCCAAACCTGGAAAGAGAATCCCAGCAGGAGCAGTTTCTGTGTTATTAGGTATCATAATATAGGTTTTGTTTTTTAAAAACTGTATAAGTATCCTTTTGTCATTTTTAAGTTGCCATCTTCAAAGGGCTGGCTGGAGAGTAGGAGGAGCTTCAGGGGCATCAAACAGCTTACATAAAGAGCTCATTACTGAGGTTAGCTCATATTCTCTATTGGACCTTTTTGGTTTAAGGGACCAGGTGTTTCTGCACTATGGGATGTTCTGTAACAGAAAAGTATAGAAGTTATTGGGTCCTCTTGATGCAGGACAAATTTCCCCAAGCGAGGGGAGACCAAGTGCTGCACCAAGAAGAAGGTCCTTTGGTGGAGAGTGTAGAAAGAATTCAACACACACGCCAAAGTTAGAGTCAAAAGGAAAGTCTATTAAAAAAGGGGTAACACTCCACAGACAGAGTGTGTTCTTCTTTCAGAGGCAGAGAGTGAGAGGGACTAAGAGACAGGGCAGTGAAAGAGACAGAGTAAAGAATACTGAGAGAGAGACAGTGAAGGACCTTGAGTGTTCAGGGAATTCAGTTTATATATCATTCTTTAGTTCCTGCAAGTTATAGTTTAAAAGACTTTGTTAACCCATTTCCTTTGATATGGACATACAATGAGGAAGAGGAAGAATATATATCGTGAAAAGGTAAGAATATGTAGAGTCAAAGGCCTGCTGGCAGTTTCCAGCTTTTAATCCTCCATAGGTTCCTTGTGGTTTTAGCCATAGGAAAGGAATGACTTAAAGACTCTTGTTTTTCCTGTTTCCCCTTCTCAGATATGGGGAATGGGTTGTTAGCAATTCCAGTAGAAATATTCCTTTGTTGTGCAGGTGTTTTCCTGGCCTGGCTGCATGGCTGATCAGCATTTGCAGTCTCTGAATGTAGCTTAATTTAACATTTTTAATTCTCTTGCCTCCTCCCTAAATTACTGTTGCTGTGACTTGTGGATGAACTGAAACTAACAGTTCTTGGTGGTTGGTAGAGTTTTTTTTTCTTGTAAGGTCAGGAGGCCCACCTACACTGGCTCACACCTGGGCTGTCTTGCCCCTGTACCCACAGGGAATGCTGATGTGTTTGGTAAAACATCTGCTCCATCACTGAAGGAGCCTCAGAAGCCCGAACAGCCCACTTCAGGGAAAAGCTCGTACCTCTCAGCGCCTGCTGGCCTCTTTGATGTCGATGATGATGACGACTTTTTTGCAGCATCCTTGGGCAAACCTTCCAAGACAGGTACCTGTTCCAGCCTATTTCTGGGAATTTTGCCAGAAAAAATAAGATTGACCTAAATAAGGCATAAAACTCCTCTAGTTCCTATATCTTGCAGTACCAGAACTCCTCCACCAAGCATTCTTGTTATAGAGTTGTCTCATTGCTACTTAAATAGTTACAGTCCCTTGGAGATTTCTATTTTATGAACGAATCTTTTCTGCTTCGGAAACTAATTAAGGAGTATCTTCTTTATAGAGAGCCGAAATCTGTTCCCCTATATCTGCTCAAGAATTTTGCTTCTCACCTTTGGAATTACACAAAAGCTTTGATCACACTTTTTTTCCAGCAGTCCTTAGTAAACGGTATGAGTAGAATGCCACATGCTAGCTCTTTAGTTCCCAGCTTCACTTTTCTGTTTCAGAAAGCCCAGGAAACCTTGATTTTCTCTTATATGACTGCGTTTTCAGCCCCTTGGCCACTTTGGCACTCTTTTCTTCCCTCAGATTTAAACCAGTTTGTTCAGGAAATCACTCCTCTAAATCAGTTCTTTAATGTGCAGATGACTCTCCCTGAACTGTTGTCAAAATGCAGATTATGATTCAGTGAGTGTGGGGTGGGGCCTGCGATTCTGCATTTCTAACAAGCTCCCTGGCGAGCAGAGATTTGCTGTTTTATGGGTTGCACTAGCCCTTTTTTCAGTGGTAGGTGTGGAAAGTAAGGTTAGAAACAGAAATTGAGGGAAATAATAGCCTAGTTATTTTAGAAAGAGTGCAAATGGATGCATAATACACTCAACTCTAGGGTGACTGAAATGATAGTGCCTCTTGTGGCTTGAAAGGGTTCTCACTGTAGCGGATGTCATTAAGAACTGATTTGGAATCACAAGTTGATACCGCTTTCTTTGACAGCTGCTTCTCTCCTGGGACACCCATGAGTCAGTGTGCTCATTTCAGTCACACATGCCTCATTCAGTGCCGCAGTAGTGGTAGTGAAAGCTTGGAAACACCCAAATATTCATCAATAGGGTAATTTACGTTCCATACATTCAGTGGATTTTGTGAACCTGTTTAAAAGAATGAGGTCTGTGTGTGCTGACATGGCAAGATATCCTAGGCACATTAAGTGAAAAACTTAAATTGTAAGGCATGTTGTTCAAATTATGTTATCATTTATAGCCTTATCTGTGAATGACTAAAGTTACTACATCAGCATATTCTTCGGAAAAATTAGAAGCATGTATACCAAACTGTTCCCAATGGCTGTTGTGTTTGGGTGGGGACATGGAGTTACAGAGGAGATTTCAGTATTTGCTTTTATATGCTATGGTATAATTTGATTTTTTAAAAGTAGGAGCTGACCCTCATTTCTCAGCTTCCTAGAGTGATTGACTCTTAAATGATCTTACTTTCTATAGGTCTCTCTTTACCTTTTATGCCAGTCCGAGCTACTCTAGGCATAGGATGCTGTTGCTTGGTTAAAACTGTCTGTCCTGTGTTTCATTTGAGTTACTGTTGTGTTCTTTGAAAAATTCCAGTCTAGTTCACTTAATATTCTTGATAACTAATCAAGAAATACCATACTAAATTTATTCTTTGAGAGGGAAGAATTTTTAGTCTGAATTTTGTGATGGGAGTTTTTACTTTAGTGTAATTTTATGCTATGGTATCTTTTTAAAGAAAAAGTCAAATCCACCACCAGTATCTTTGATGAGGAGGAAGGAGATCTGTTCAAAGAAAAAGCAGCGGCTTTGCCAGAAGCTACTGTGAATAAGACAGATGAAAATAAAGCAAGAGCAGAAGAAAAAGTGAGTAGGAGGGAAGACTGAACATAGGAGTATTGATTTATGGCATCTTGTTAATTCTTCTGAAACTCAGAGGGAGCTATTGTTTCAAGTGTATAGTAAAGAACTTCAAACTTAACTTCAAACTTCTTTTTTCAGAAGGCTGAAAAAAGAGTACAACAAACACTCAAATAACTACTACCAAGATTCAGCAGTTGTTAGGATTTTGCCCTTCCCAGTTGTTTTAGCATCTATTTATGATCTTTTCTTGAACTAGTTACCATGTTGTGGGATGCAAAATAATGTTTTTCTAGTTCTTGCATTTCTTCTACCTTTGTTAACTGGCATTCTTTTGAGTAGAAGAGCTGTTTCTTCTTTCCTGCTTTTTTAGTATTACTATAGGATAGTAGATTCTCTATTCATGTATTCATGAGCATTGTTATTATTTTTTGGTGCTCAAATTGACCTGTATTTGGCCAGTGGGATGCATCCCTCTCAGTCCTTAAGCTTTTCTGGATGCTTTCCCTTTGCTATCCCGCACACCTTGATCTTCCTAAAGCATATCTTGCGACATGTCCTTGCTATGAAACCCTGACTTTCCTGCTGCCAACCACCTAGATCCCAGCATTCAGAACCTGGCAAGCTCCTAGGGTGGCTTGCCTTCCTATGCTGGCTCCAGCTGTAAATGTCCCATTTGTGTCCTGTATGAGGTAGGCAACCTGTCCTACTCTGATCTACCAGATGTGTCCTCTCTTTTATCTTGCTTTTCTCTTTTCACATGGTTTCCCTCTGCCTGGAATGTCCTTGGTTGTACCATCTCCCATGTCTAGTCCTTGTCTATCTTGAGAAATTTACTTTATCAAGGAACTGTTTCTTTCCTCTTTTCTAACTTACACAAATTTTAAAATTCTTTTTCATGATACTCCTTTGGAATTAGTTCTTTGTACGAACTTGATACATGTCCAAGGCCCACGATGTCTTTATCCCCGGGTGTGTGACCTGGCGCCTTATTCCAGCAGAGACTCAGTACATTTTCTGAGTAAATGATTAAACCCTCATTTCCGGGTATATTTTTTTTAACTCTCGAAAAATTTTTTTTCCCACAAAGGTCACCATGCCTTCCAGCAAAAATCTCAAGCTCTTGTCAGAAACAAAGACTCAAAAAGGTTTATTTTCAGACGAAGAAGACACTGAGGTAAGGAATTCTTTTTTTAGTTCTGATACTTAGTCTGTGGATATATGACATTAGAAACTATTTCTGAATTCAGATTTTCTTAGTAGAAGTGTAAGACATTTTATTAAGTTCTTTAGTTCCTTTTTTGAAAGTAATCTCTTAAGAACAGATGGTCTTTAGAAGCAATACATGTACAATACTTTTCACTGTAGGATTTGAATCTAGTGCATCTCCTGGGAGGAAAATACTCTCTCTTCAGGATGCTCAAATTTTAGGCTATTTGTTGATCCACACTGATGAGGCACTTGTACTAGAATGGAAATCAACACACTGCTTCTTTTTTCGGTAGTCTCACTGAAAGTTGGGCTTAGTGATGAAGTGATAAGTATTCTGGCATAGCCTTTTATGTTGTGACTGGTAATAGTTTGTGGCTGGTGCTGGTTTGTAGATACCCCAGTTCTCCAGACACCCACCTGGAAGCACCTTTGCAGTGGAGCAGTATCAGCTCTCAGAAGTGGCACTGCTTTTTCTGACTTCCACAGGCCTAGGTCCTTTTAGAATTAATTTTAGGCTAAGCTTTTAAGCAATCAGAGACCTGTATGAGAATTTAATGTGAAATAATCCCCTTCACAGAAAAATATGTGGCAGAAATTTACATGTAATTTCATGATTTTGTGAACTTTGGAGGTAGCTCTAGTAGTTACTTTGCACTAATAGCTAGGATGAACATAAAACTTTTTGTAAGTAGAGTGATTACCATTGATATAAAAAAAATCTTGGAGGCTTCTATATCACTGAAGGCCAGTGTACAGAAGATAGGGATTAACCAAAGTCCAGTTAAGCCAAACTCCTGACATATGAGCACAGCATGTTGGTGCTTCACACTCTGGCCTTATTCTGTTCTCCCTGCTTCTTTACCGTCAAGCACACTTGCACTCTAAGGTCTTTGCACTGGCTCCTGCCCCTCTGGGAATGCTCTTCCCAGAGTCCAGTTGGCTTGGTTCTTCATTTTTTCCAGTTTTCTGTGAGGCATCCCCTGATAACCCTTTTTATGGTAACAAGCCTGCCAGCACATACCATGCTGCACTCATTTGCCCCCTTTTCTGTTTTATTGTCCTCCACAGTACATATTGCCATATGACATTTTATGTTTACTTGTTCATTGTCTTTGTCCCAACTAGAATAAACTCCGTGAGGGCAGGACATTTTGTTCCCTGCTATTATTCCTGATACTTAGACCAGCGGTCCCAAGGACCGGTGCTCCTATGAGAATCTAATGCCTGATGATCTGAGGTGGAGCTGAGGCAGTAGAGCTAGTGCTGGGGAGAGGCTGCAAATACAGATGCAGCTTGACTCACTCATCTGCCGCTCACCTCTTGCAGTGTGGCCTGATTCCTAACAGGCTGGCCGCAGGGTTGGGGACCCCTGACCTAGACTGTTGATTGGCATTTGGTAAGCTGTCAAATAGTCATCAACTATATGAAAAAAGAAAACAAATTTGAGCAATTTTAGTGACTTAAAAGGTGTTCCAGTTACTTATTGCTATGAAAGAAGTCACTACAAAACTTAAAACAATAAGTGGCTTAAAACAATAAGTTTTTTTGAACCTCTTATGGTTCTAGAAGTTGCTGGCTCAGCTAGGTAGTTTTCATTTAGGGTCTCACATGTGGTTTCTAGTCTGAGAGTGGCCGGGCTAAGAATCATCTCACTCACGTTTCTAGTGCCTGGGCGAGAAAGACTCATGCACTCCTATCTCTGTATGGTCTCCCAGCATAGCAGCTTCTGGGACTTCGTACATAGATTTCTCATACGGTGGCTCCAAGCTTCAGAGTGAGATTCTTGAGAGAGCTGCACAGAGGCTGTATTGCTTTTTGTACCTAGCTTTGGAAGTCGACATTGTCACTTCTGCCACATTCTGTTGGTCAAGGCAGTCACAAAGACGTACCCAGGTTTAAGACTGCAATTCTTGATGTAAAAGAATTTGCAGAAAGGTTTTAAAACCATCACTGAAGGCTTTGTCCCTTGTGTATTATCATAGTTTTTATTGGATACTGTCAAGGTGCTTATGCAAGAAGTAAAACAGTATAGTCTAGAAGATAAAGTTTTGGACTATAAGGCTTGATTCTTTACTCCTGCCTCTGTATCTCAAGTGCAGAGCTAAAGCCTGCCCTGTGAAATCATTTTGGAACATGTTTGAGGTAATGAAAAAGCATTTTTTTTCTTTTTTTTTTTTTTTACCAGCAACAGGGAAGATAGTAGTCAGGGGTCCAAAACCATGATGTTAAATTTTTTTTTAATTAAGCAACAGAGCCCTTTCCTTAAATAAAATCTTGCCAATGAGTAAAATGCAGGAGGGGCGTGGGAACCCTGGAGCTCCCACTGTGTGGCCTTTTTTACATAAACAGACCCATGGGATTTCTTGGGTCCCAGGTGAAAACCACTGGACTGAGAAGAGTTCTTCTCAGTTAATGAATTCATTAGGGCTTTGAAGAGCAAACATTGATTCCATAATAAAAAAAGTTTATCTAAAGACATCTTAGAAATTATGTTCTTGTCCTATTTAATGCTCCTGCATATTGAAGTTTCTTCCCTAGGAAATAGTTGTCCTATTTTGTTACATTTATATAGCTAATTTTATGCTGATTCATGCAGCTCAATTTGCAGATCTGTCTTTGCATTATAAGCTAACATTTTGAAGAATTTTGAAATATTCTTTAGAATCTACCAGATTTTTCTCTAATTTGCAACACCTACCTATAGTTCAAGTAGAACGCCAAACATTTTAAAATAAAAGTTGAGTTGGTGGTTATTTAAAAAAATAATATTATATTCTTATAAGAGGACAAAGGTGTTAGTAAACAAAGCAGAGTCATAGATCCAGTAATTTGGGAATCTAGCTTCTATTTAATCTTTCTGATTCTTTGGTCAGAAAAAAGAAGTTTTTTTTTTTTTAAGCATTATAAGAGATTGATTGGAAAATTTCCCCCTGCCTTAAGTCATTAGAGTGGGATGCCAGGATAAAGCAAAGTGGGAATATCACAACATCTGGATTCTAGTGAGGCCATCTGGAGTTGCATGTGGTCTTTCTTGCAGGCAGGCATTTGTGCTGCACACAGCTAGGATAGACTCTCATGTGTGTTCCTCAAGGACACTCTCACTGAGTTTTCCTCTCTGACAAAGAGACTTAGATGCGTGGCAGCCATCATGTCACAGTCTTTTTAGTGTTTCATATCTAACTGATACTTTCAAAACTGATATATCTTATTAACCAGGAACTTTAATCTTGCTCCAACAGGATTTGTTTTCTCAAAATGTGAGTAAGTCAAAAGATGCATCTCTCCTGCCTAGCAAATTTCCTACATCAGTCTCACTTTTTGATGATGAAGATGAAGAGGTAAATGTTGTTATTGAAGCATAAGCTAATCAAGTTGTCAATTAGTAGAAAACCATTGCTGATGTTGCTTTATAGCCAGAGGCTATATCTGAAGCTTGTATAACAACAACAAAAATTTGTTTTTATTTCAGCGACTCCTTTCTTAAGTTCTCTTAGTTATACAGTGGTCAGGACATTAGATTATTGACCCAGGTCTTATGGAAGGCTTTGTAGATTTTACTTTAAAAATCTGACTTTAAGAAATTCTTTTTAGAGGATGGATCTGTGTAATACCCAATGATCTACAAGAATGTCTTAGTTAAAGGGGGAGTCAAGAGGAGAAGGCAGCTATGTCCTCATCTTTTCTTTCTTTCCCACCCTGGATAAGAGAGCAAAGTGGGAGAGAGAAATAAGAGGAAAGACAAAGCAAGCCTTGATTCTTACACAGTACCGTGTGGTGGCTAAGCTTCTGGGCTTTGACATCAGACCCGTGTGTTCATATCCCAGCTCCACTACTTGCAAATCAGAGACCTAGGGCAAGTAACTTTACCTTTCTGAATGGTATATGGCTTAATAGTATGTAGGGTCATTGTGACAGCTAAAAAAACTAATGTACAGCCCTTGGCACAATGCCTAGCACATAGCAAGTTCATAGTAAATGTTAGCTTTTGTCATTAATATACCTATTAGATGCCAGTTCGTTATTCTCATGGCCTTTCCTTCCAACACTCTCTTTAATGGTTCCCTTTATCAAATCTTTACGCTTCAGGACTGTTCACCTGCTGTAGAATACTGTTAAGAGTGTTTTTCTGTCTAAATCAGGCTCGGGCCCTCTGATGGTTTTGTTACCTGGATCTAAGTAAAAGTATCTTCATAGGCAATTCTGGAGTGCTTGGCAATGCAAATATTGACAAATGCTTTTGAATCTATAAGAATCAGCCCTTATTAGGCCAGTGATTTTACTTAGTAAACTTTCTTAAGTTTATATTGTTTCTTTAAAATTAACCAGAAACCCAAGTTGTTCTTTCTTTCTGTCCCAGTTATGTGTCCTTCATAGATGTAAAAGAATGGAGAAAGCTCTGTATTTCTTTCCTTTTATCCAGTGCTCCAGCTTGTAATTCATAGAAAGGTGCAAATTGCTATCTGCGGCAGTGCACTATACTGCTCTCCTGGCAGTTGGGGGCTATAGGCCCTCCCTAGTAAGCATAGAGGGCCTGCCCACAGGACAACAGGATGGTGCCAGGTTTCCTCCTGTTTTTGTAACCTTGTCCTCACATTAACCACCCTTCTGCTCCTTCCAAAGTGTTCTGCCTTGCGTTTTATGCTATCTGTGTATCCCTTTTGTGGATAGAGAATACAGTTAGAGAAGATTGCAGACTGTCATCGCAGGCTTAAATGTAAGAGAAAAGTGGGATTTACTAGCATTTTGTGATCCCCCCAAAGGCGTTATATATATTCTGTACCTGACTAGAGATTTATTCTCTAACAATTCTTTTTCATGTAACTCCTACTTTTTTATTATTAAATTTATTGAAGTGACGTTGGTTAATAAAATTATATGTTTTAAGTGTACAGTTTAATAATATATCATCTGTATATTGCATGTGTGTTTACCACCCAAAGTCAAATCTTCCATCATCATATATATTTGACCCCCTTTACCCTTATCTACCTCCTATTTTTATTTTTTATTTATTTATTTTTTATATATGTTTTTATTATTGTGACATTGGTTAACGAAATTTAGTAAGTTTCAGGTATACAATTTAACAGTAAGGCATATATATATATTGCATTGTGTTCTAACAATTCAACATGAGAGAATGTCTTAAGTTTTTTGTTTTATATGTAAGATGTCATACTCTTCTGCCATTTTTTTTTCTAGGATAATCTTTTTGGGGCTACAGCTGCTAGGAAGCAGACATCATCTCTACCAACTCAAAGCCAAGAGAAAGCAAAACCCTCTGAGCCTTCCAAAAAGAAAGCATCTGCATTATTGTTTAGCAGTGATGAAGAGGTGGGTTGAAAGTCTCTTCTAGAGAAAAATAGGAGGTTATTTGATGAGATTTAAGAGTTATGGCTGTCCTAAACATTTTCTTTTTCTACCTATTTTATATCTAGGGAAGTTCAGTAACCAAAGACAATGTTGAGAAAACTAGCTTTCTTTTCTCGAAGAAAGATATTTAATGTGGTATATGAAAGATAAATCTTTTCAGAATGGTTAGGAATATAAGTATGGTCCTCAGATTATGATATATGCTAATTGAAATCATGCCTTACCTTATCTTGTTAAATCATCACTATGTTTCATTAATCAAGAAACATAAATCTAGACATGGTAGGAGTATCCAGTGCAAGTTTAACTTCCTTCTTTTATTAGTCATAATAATATTTCCATTTCCTGTCTAGATACATATTTAAAAAGCCAGTAATGAATATATTTAGGTGCTGTTCAGATTTAGCTGTACGAGAAAAATTTAAATATAACACTAAAAGCCCTGGGCATTGAAAATCTATAATAATGCTTTTTTTTTTTTAACATCATTGGCAAGTTTTTGAGAGTATGACGTGGCTAGATAAATCATAGGTACAACACAGCATAATTTGCTTTTTCTACTCAAACATACGAATTTGTATGTTTCTACTCAAACATACGAATTTTCTTTTTTTTACTTTTTAGCATTGTTAGTGATTGTTTTCCCTATAGAAATGGCCAACTATTAGTGACATTTTTCCTACCATAGTGGTTCTGGGAAAGTAAAAATATTAGCTAAAGCTGAGAACAACATTCCTTGCCGAGGAAAGATAACCAGAGTTCTAGCGACTCTAAACATTGGCTTACCATTGAAATCACTGGGAGAACTTTAAAGAGTGCTAATACTGGTATTCACCACTGGAAATTCTGAATTAATTGATTTGGGATATGACCTGTCAGTAGAATTTTCTAAAGCTCTTTCAGGGGTTCTACTGTCTAGTTGCTGCTCTAGAAGAGTGTGTTTCAAACCATAACATGAAGAAATCACCTGGGTGTCCTGTTACAAGTGCAGGTTCTGATTCAGAAAGTCTGGGGAGAACTCTGAGATTCTGCATAACAGATGCTACTGGCTTATGGACCTCACTTAGATTTGCAAAGCTCTATTCTCTAGAGACCAAAAGACTACTTAAGCAAGTGCTCAGGAATTCCTTGATTTGAAGGGATGAGCATAGCCAGGTGAGGTTTCCTTGAAGGCTAAGTCCAGATTCAGTCTTTTGTGGTAAAAGAGTCATTATCAGCTTTCATTGTATTGTGTTTACATGTGCATTACATGAGTTTCCCGCCCCCGCCCCTCTTTAATTCCCCGCCCTACTTCCACCCCTGACCTGTGGATGTTGCCGTTTCCCTTAAGAACTGGATCTCTGAAGGCAGGGCATCTCCTCCCACACGCTTGCAGCGTGTACCAGGAGCCTGGCAACCCCAGAGCCTGGCACACCTGGGGTATGGTCCCTGGTTCCACCTGGGGCGCGAACCCAGGACCTTCTGCGTGTAAAGCAGAAGTGCTAACCACTACACTGTGGAGCCACCTCCACATGAGCTTTTTATACATTTTTCTTAGCCTGCTTTGGGATTTTTAAATTAAAATATTTTACTCCAAAATTGAGAGTTCTTATTTTTTTTAACATTATTCTTCTCTTTAGCTTCCCTCTTTAATTTCGATCTTCTAAAGTAGACAAGTTCCCTTGTTCTAACAGAACAGAACCATGGAGAGGAGAAACATCATGGCAGACAGTGGAGGAGGAGGGCATGAGAAGGTCTGTGAAGTCAAGGAACCCAGCAATCTAGATTTGAGGTTAAAGAAAAGTTTTAGACATGAGATTTCTTCAATTGTGATACATTTTGTAGTATAATACTTAGTTTATATACAATTTAGTTTAATGAATGTAAATTTTATTTTACTTTCTAGGTTCTTTAGACTTCTAGATTTTAATATGTACTTTACATTTTAAGGACCAGTGGAATATTACTGATTCACAGACCAACTCAGCATCTGACAACAGGTCTAAAGGAGAACTTAGAGTCTCTGGGACCTCTCAGGACCAGAAGGCCAAGGCTGTGAAAAAGACCAGCCTCTTTGAGGAAGACGATGAAGATGACCTGTTTGCAATTGCTAAGGACAGGTGAGTGAGAGAGCCATACGAAATCATTTACTCTGAGTCTGTGGTAACAAGTAAGGTATTTGAAGTTATTAGTTACTGGAGTGAATTGCTGATGATTTATTACCTAGTAGTACTACAAATGAGGATGTCTTTGATTTTCACTTGCAAGATATTCTTCACTAATACTAGAAAATGTTGGTTGTCTTCCTAACGCGGAATCTTAATTTCTTCTACCTACCATTTTTTTTAACTTTAAAATATTTTTTTTAGTTTATTAGGGGTTTAAGTACAGTTTATTGTCTTTGGTTTTCCCCTGGGATACCCTAAAGCTGGGGTCCCCAGTCCCTGGGCCGCAGACTGGTATGGATCTGTGGCCTGTTAGGAACTGGGCCACACAGCAGGAGGTGAGTGGCAGGCGAGCAAGTGAAACTTCATTTGTATTTGCAGCCACTCCCCAGTGCTAGCATCACTGCCTCAGCTCCACTCAGATCGCCAGGCATTAGATTCCTATACGAACACCGGTTGGTCCCTGGTGCCAAAAAGATTGGAGACCTCTGACCTAAAGAATGTAAAGTTTGATCAAGGTTATTTAAGATTGTCATTTCTGTAGAAATCTGCTCAACATTGAACATCCTGTTACGAGGATGATTCTTTGCAGAGTTGGGCTGTATCACACCAGTTGCTGATACCCCTCCACATTCATACTTGGACTGAAGCCTGCAGGATGTGTAGAGTGAGCATGGGCTGTGGTGGTTGTTGTAACATGCTACCAAATTAGCTGTGGATTCCGAATAGTTTTCTTGCAAACTTTTTTTTTCTCTTGAGAGCCTTACATGATCAGTTTGAAATTCAGCAAAATGATAGTAGCATAAAAAGGCAATTAATTGGACATGTAAATCCTATGCATTGGTGTGGTTAAGCTTTCATTTTCATTTGATAGATTCAGAAGCACCTTATATTTCTATCTCTAAGTATTGTGATCTCTTCAGATGTCACCATTTCTACTTTTGGTCTCTGTGACTTCACTGCTAGTTGCATCCTTGGCCTCTGGTTACGAATATAGGTTCAGGAATCCCAAGACCCAATAATAAATTCTGGCCCTGCCAGTTCCTCTCTGGATAGCATTGAGCAAGTTACCCAATCTCTCTGGGCCTGAGTTTCCTCATCTGTTAAACAAAAATAATAATGGTGCTTCTCTTATAGGATCGTTGCGAGGATTAAATGAAATCCAGATGTGAAATACTTAGCACAATAGCTGGTACTTTGTAAGCACCTAAACATTACCATTTGTTGTCATGAGAGAAGGGGAGGTAACATTTCATTCCTTTACTTTGTTGCTCTCTCTTTCCTGGGACACTCTTCTTCCTTTGTTCCTTGGCCAGCTTCTTGCAAGATGCACTTTAAGCCCTCTCTTTTAAGAAGCCTTCCCTAACCCAAACAGCTGAGAGAGACAAGAAATAAATAGGGTTGGAATTGAGAGCAAAAATGGCTCCATCTCTATAAGCCCCTCCTCTGTGTCTCATGCACTTGAGCATTTTCTACATTGTATAGAAGTTATCTGTTTTCATGTGTGCCCCCTCCCTTTGTCCCAAGCACATAAACATGGTCACAAGTTTAGAGGTCGGAAGCATGTCTCATTTGTAAGTACACACAATACCTAATTTTCAGTAATGCTTTCTCTTCTCCAGACTCATTCCATCTCCAGTTGATCCAGAAGTTGTCTGTAAAATTTAGTTTATAAGCATTTTTCTGGGGAAGTAATTCAGAGCTTTCATCAGATTCTCAAAAAAAAAAAACCAAACAAAAAAAAAAATAGCAGCTTTTATTGACAACAAAAAGTAGGAGAGGATGTGGAGTAATTGGAACCCTCATACATTTTCCTGAAGGGAATGTAAAATGGTGCAGCCACTTTGGAAAATAGTCTAGCAGTTCCTTAAAAAGTTAAACTTGGAGTTACCACATGATTTAATTTTCACTGTTAAGTATATGCTCAAGAGAAATGAAAACATGTCCCCACAAAACCTTGTACATGAATGTTCACTGTAGCATTATTTATAGTAGCCTCAAATTGGAAACAACCCAAAAGTCCATCAACTGATGAAAGGATAAAAAAAAGTTGTATCCGTACAATGGACTCTTATTCAGCGGGAAGAAAAAATAAAGTACTAATACATGCTGCAACATGAATAAACCTTGAAAATGTTGTGATAATTAAGCCAGTCACAGAAGAGCACATGTATGATTATATAATGTCCAGAGTAGATAAATCCACAGATACAGAAAGTAGATTAGTGTTTGTCTGCTGCTGAGGGGAAAGGAGAATTGAAAGTGACTGTGAACAGGTATGGGGTTTCATTTAGAGCTGATGGAAATATTGTGAACTTTGATTATGGTGACAGTTGTATAACTCTGAATATATTAAAAACCAATTAATTGTATGCTATAAAAGGGTAAATTTTATGGTATGTAAATTATATCTCCAAACCATTCTAAAAAAAACAAGATTTGTGACCCTAACCAAGTTGTGAAATACTGCCTTGTAAGCAGGGCACTCAAATGTCTTGTCTTGCCTGGACTTCCCTGGTTCGTGCCTATCATTCCAGCGCGATTATTAATAATTTTCTCTTTCACTTCAAAAGTGTCCTGGTTTAGGCCATAAACCCTGTGGTCATCATAATGTTTTCTGATCTCTTTTTAAATAAATCAAAATACTTAACCTTTTATTTCTAATGAGAAATACTCTAGCTTACTGAGTAGCATATTTTTCTTATAAGGACTGCTCTTCATGAGAGGCCCAAATTTAACCAACAGTTTGAGAGTCTGTAATGAAGGCCAAGGTTAAGGACTGTCTTTTGTTTTCTATTGTAGCTGTCTCCAGAAAAACACTAGCTTTTCTCCAGCTTATTTTCAGAATCTGTCATCAGATATTTTTTTGTGGGTTGGGTTTTTTGTTTGTTTGTTTTTTGGCCTTTTTTTTTTTTTTTTTTTAAGAAATTACTTGTTTGGAAAATCATGCATAAGATTTTCTCCTGCTATAGTGACATAATGAGATTTCTGGTATTTTTAGACATCTGATATAGTTATTGTTTAAATACTTTGTGATCATCACCTAGTAATTAAATATTTTGGTTATAGTTTGTATAAATTTTTATTAGTATATATTCTTAAAGGCATATCAGATATTACCTCACTTATGTCATTATGAATTGGCTCTCTGCTTTTATAACTTCAAGGTATGGCCTTAATTTTAAACTGTTCTTTAGTGCCTGTGTCCAGTATAAGTGCACTTAATTATTTGGTTAGTTGTTCCCTGATCAGTGATCCTTAGTTTTTTTTTCTTTTAACATGTAGCAGACATCAATATTAAACTAATGAATAAGCTACATAGATTGTGCCTTGTTAATAATTAGACTTCAAAAATTATAATATTTATACATTACTGGTGTATATGCTAGTTGTATTCGAATGTAAGTAGAGGGATATGGTGCAATTTACTGAAATGACTTGCTAGTATTATTTTTATCTAGCTAAAATTGAATTTAAAGTTTTCATTATTTGGTAATTCTCTAGTATGCTACTTGGATGATTATCACACAGTAAAAATCAGAACTTGACCCTTTAGTAGTTAGAACACTTTCTATTCTGAACTCCCCATGTCCACTGCTAAGCCTCTACTTTTATGTTTCTGTTCCTTAAAAGGTCTTGAGCAGTGTTTGTTCTAGAAGACATTTATTGCCCACATTCTCTGTAGGGGCCAGGGCAGAACTTTAGGTAAGGAGATAGGTGAAGACAGGCTAGAGGAAGACAAGCTTGGTGTCAGGTTTGAAGAGAAGGCATAGAAGGGCAGAGAGGTGCTTGAAAAGACAGGGTTAAGTGGCTAAGGGGCACCATGTCACAGCCCAAAACAGGTCTTGGCCCTGCATCTTCTTGACAGCCGCCTTTCTGACCACTCTGGAAATAGGCATATAGGCTCTCTGGTTCTTCTTCTGTCATAGGAAGTGGTGAGAGAGAATGCTATGTTTGTGAATGCTAAAAATGTTATATGCCTTGACACAGCTAACAGTACACTTACACTGAGTCAAAAGTAACAGAAAAGGGGCAAGGCAAGATAAGGAAGGCCCTGGATAAAGATGAGAGGCAGAAGCTGATGATTTGCTAGATAGAAATTGCACCTACTTCAAAGGTTTTTCTTATTTGCTTTCAAATGTATAAGGTCAGCAGATGGCTCAGGTGTTCTGGTGGTAGATGGGTTCCTGGAAGTGTGGCATAGAAAGGGTACTGTTTGTTTTTTAATCACATTTGCCTTTTATTTGACTTTCGTTTGTATAGCCAAAAGAAGACCCAGAGAGCATCACTCCTCTTTGAAGACGATGCTGATAGTGGAAGCTCTCTGTTTGGCTCTCCTCCCACATCTGCTCCTCCTGCAACTACGGTATTGTTAACCTCTTATGTCCAGGAAATATCCTTGAGGCGATGTTACGTGAATAGTGATACTGACCTGAATTAGCTCTTAAAACCTGACCTTGGAAGCTGAATCTAATAAAAAAAAACCCGTTTGTGTAGTTTTAGAAAGATATCTGGTATTTTACAGGTGAAGCATACTCACAAAGTCTGGAGAAAAGGGTTCCTTCATGTCATGCAGCCCAGTGCCAGGTGTAGGTCTCCGGAGTCTCTGTGGGGAGCACTTTTGCAGTTCTGGAGGAATTGCCAAGCTTAGTGCTGGTGGCACTGAGTTCTGCTAACATTAGGCTAGGCCAATTAAGGCATAAATTATCTCTTTTAGGGGCATGTTTTAAGTATTAGTATTTTGATCCTGATTTGTATTAATAACCAACCAACAAAAAGGAAGGAAATTCTGACACATGCTACTACATGGATGAACCTTGAGGACAGTATACTGAGTGAAGTAAGGTGGTCACAAAGGACAAATGCTGTATAATTCCACTTACATGAGGTCCTTGGAGTAGTCAGTTATAGAAACATGAAGTAGAGTGGTGGTTGCCAGGGACTCTGGTTAAGGGAAATAGGGAGTTATTTAATCTGTACAGAGTTTCAGTTTTGCAAGATGAAAAAATTCTGGAGCTTGGTTGTACAACAATGTGAATATTTTTAATAGTATTGAACAATACACTTAGAAATGGTTACAATGGTAAATTTTATGTTAAGTGTTTTTTACCACATTTTAAAAAAGTGTTTTTAAAGTATGTGATGAGAAAAAAAAGTAGCCATTCAGTTGCTCTCTGGTTTAATATCCTTCCAGTGACTATATCTACATGGCAGCACTACCACAATCACCTATGCTAAAAAATTTAGCTAATCTTGATGTTAAGTTATGTCAAAAAGGAGCATTAGAAACGAGAGGAAGGCAGCATTATGATGATATTTGTCCAGGGAACCTAGGCATACTGAAATCCTGTGTTTGGCCTGTTATTCATCCTTCCTCAAGACATTGCCTAGGCAGATATATGTGAGTATGCACACATAGAACAAAGGCCAAGCAGTATTTCTTGCCACCTGACCATTGCTAGCAGTCCCAAAGGGAAATTTAGAACTTCTTAGGCTACACCCCATGAAGACCTCCTTTACTGTGTTGGGATAGCCTATAAGGCCAAGAATCAAGCTAACTCACAGCCTCCTATCTGTGAGGGCCTTCAGCCCCAACCTCAGACCACTCCAGTTTGGCATGTTAAGACAGGGAAGAAGGGATGAGCCCCCCTGACATTCCTTCCATGTGGGAGTAGCTACAGAATCCAAACTGGGCTTGATAGAGGAGACCTTCCTTCTCCCACCACGGTGACAAGTGACCATATCCTTGGTACCTGCACATCTTTTAAAGAAAATTTAAATAAGATCATTTCACATATTTTTATGCATCTTTTATTTTGTCCTGCAGCATATTTGTCATTTTTATAAGCTCTATCTTAACTCTTTTTCACCACCATGTAGTATTCCACAGTATAACTGTGCCAGGACATGTATGGACTATTTCTCATTTGACGGAGTAATTGTCACTATTTTCTGCGCGTTTTTTAGTAATGTTTCTTCCCATTCTTACTGTCTTGTCATTTTTAGCCTTGACTGTTGAAATAATTTCTTAACTGCCCTCTCTGTCAATGCTCCTTCCTTTCATCTGCTCTTCTTGCTGTTGCCCTGGCTCTCTTCTTAAAGACAACATGTTCTGTCGTCTCCTTGTTACAGTACCTAAGCTGAGTCTGCCATGCCACCTTTAATCTCATTCAAATTGGACTTATCTTTTCTAGCCTCATACACCATGTGCTTTAGGTGACTCATCCTGTCCTAGAATACTCCAGAAGAGGTGGATGTCTCTTGTCTGCAATATTCTTCATATTTTCAGACATAATACAAATGTCAACTTGTTCTATGAGAGAAAACTTCCCAGACCAGGCACATACCAGTTAATGACTGAAGAATTCTTTTTCATTAAGTGGGGTGGCACAGCTTGTACTAGAAGCTTTCAGCATTGGGGGAGCATACTTCCTTCCTTGGGCTCTGGGGCTTCCTATTGCTGCTTTTGAGGTGGTCATAATCCTTTCCTTGAATCTCTCATACTTGTACCTCCCAAAAGACATTTAGTGGCTCCATGGTTAAGAGTTGGGAGATATGAGTGGGTTTTCTTTGTAAATTATAAATAATAACTTCTACCTTGGATAAAGGAACAATAATTAATGAATTTTGAAGGTTCTGGAAATTAAAAAGTCTTTCAACCTGTAGTATTATGATTGTTAAGACAAAAAGTCAAAGATATACATCTTAAGTAGGTGGACAACCTGCACACATGATTTTTACTATGTGAGATATAATCACCTTTAGATAACAGTATTTAAAAGTTATTTTTTGTTTACAGGTCCTAGAATATTTTAGAATAAGTTAAATGTGACTCATCTGTCAAGAAAATTAACTTCATGACAAAAATGAAGAGTCAGCTTATCTTTAGGAAGGTTTAAAACCAGTAGTTAGGATAGCATTTTCTTGTTTAAGGCCCATAGTTATATGAGAGGAGAATATGTTTCACCATATGTAAGTCTCATTTTTTACCTTCATCAATTTGCATCAAAATTTATATGCAGTTTTCAGTGAGTCCATATTCCACAAAAATTTTTTTCTTTAATCATTGCAGTTTAGCCTTATCTCTTCTCAAACTCTTGTGGGTTTACAATCTTTTATTTCAAGTTCAAATGAATATGCATTTTAAGGACCTCTTCCTAACAAGTAAAAATCTCCTTACCTTATTCTTCTTATTTCATATTTTTTCTATCATAATAATGTTCTTAGTTTCCAAATCTGTCTTCCTAACTTAATTTAGATACTACTTCACAGCTTACTTCCTCATATCATCTAGTCTATTAATATGATAGAGTTATAGTTTTTTTCTCAAAATTTTTGATGTCACTTGCCCCAAGAGTGTCAATAACTCTAAGCAATCACATAACCCCAGTTTCCTAATCTCTGAAATCCCTGTCTTCCAGGTAAGGGACAGATGAGAGACAGGGCAAAGTGCTCGTAATCTTGTTGAAGCTCCTACTTGTTGTAAAACACAGTGACTAGCTGTGGAAATATTCTATATGACCTTTCAGTTAAATGGACAAACTGATGTGTGATAGTTATTAATATAAATTATGAAAACAATAAGGGCTAGGTAGGGATATAAATAATATTCTTATCAATGAGATAACTGGTACTTACAGAAGAGAACAGAAAAACCTTCCTGGGTGACATCTGAGCTGGGCCTTGAAAGATGAGGATTTGCTTCAACAGACAGGGAGAAGCAGGCAAAGGTTATTTTGCCCAGTTTTAACATTCCAAAGATTTGAAGATTAAGACAAGCAAGGCAGTTCCTCTGGGATGGCAGCTCTGACTCCATTTTAAAGTGATTCTGTCGATATTATTTTTCATGAGGATGTCATTTACTCATCTTTTGGTAGAAAAAAGAGACTGTCCCTGAGGTACCACCTTTGCTATTCAGCGATGAAGAAGAGAAGGAGGCACAATTTGGAGTGAAACCTGTGGACAAGAAGGTTGAGAGTGCCAAAGGATCTGCAGAAATTGGGAGAACTCATGTGGTTGAGGAGTTGGAAAAGGTAGACTTTTTTTGTATATTCTGACATGTTTATCTCTCATATATTCTGATATGTTTTTGTAAAATCCACACGTGCACACATATGCACACACCCTTAACATTTTTCTACTACAGAAAATAAATTGTCCTCTTTCTGTAAGCAGCCTGAGGTAACCTCTGAAAATGGTTTGCTATTCACTTGACCCAGAAAACCCCACAAAATTATGTAAATTAAAAGGTTCAGATTTTCGTGTTCACTTTAAGAACACACTTTGAGAACATTTGTGTAACTGCCCAGGCCATTAAGGTATGCATATCCAAAAAGCCACCAAGTATCTGAAAGATGTCACTTTACAGAAGCAATTTGTGCCATTCTGTCATTACAGTGGTGGAGTTCGGGGCGGAGGGG